ATAAAAGGAGTAAAAGTAATTCTAGAATTGAATTTGAAAGTTTTCACAGATTCTTTTTTTTTTAATTGAAAAAGAAAAATGTTTAGCCTTTTTTATACCGCTTAATCTCTTCTATGGAATACAGGTATTGACAAATTATTAAATAAGTAAGAAACACAAATAATAATTAAATTAACTTTGATTATTTAAAAAAAAAGTCATGTCTTTTTATATTCCCCCCCCACAGGCACCGCAAAAAAAGTTGAAAATGAGATATTAAAAAGAAAATTATGACATTATTTCAATTGATAAATCTAAAAAAAATTATATTATTTGATAATCTTATTTTTGCTAACATAAAGATTAAAGTTTTTAATGAATTTGTGCATTCTAATGAGAATTTTTAGCTGATTTATTCTAGAAAAAAATTACTTAAGAAACATATTTAAACAAATTTTAAAATTTTAAAATTTTTATACTTTTTAGTCTAAAAGAATATTATGACATTGTTATTTACTGATTGATTCCAAAAAATAAATTCAAACTAAAATTTAAGAAATATATTAAAAATAGAAATCAAATTTTCAAAAATCATCTTATTTTTAGTCTCATGACAATATGGAGCCTGCACTGTGTGTTCTGGACATGAAAGAAATCCCGGAAATTAATTTGGGACCAGGTATATAAGACTTATATTGGTATATTTGGGACCAGGTATAAGACATATATTGCAGGAATATTTTGGACCAGGTATCAGACTTATATTGGAATATTTTGGACCAGGTATCAGACTTATATTAGTTTAGTTGCGACCAGTTATCAGACTTATATTGGTTTATTTGGGACCAGGTATCAGTCTTATATTAGTTTATTTTGGACCAGGTATCAGACTTATATTAGCTTATTTGGGACCAGGTGTCAACCTTATATTAGTATATTTGGGACCAGATGTCAACCTTATATTAGTATATTTGGGACCAGGTGTCAACCTTATATTAGTATATTTGGGACCAGGTGTCAACCTTATATTAGTATATTTTGGGACCAGGTATCAACCTTATATTAGTATATTTGGGACCAGGTGTCAACCTTATATTGGTATATTTGGGACCAGGTATCAGACTCATATATAAGTATATTTGGGACCAGGTATAAGACAATTATATTAGTATATTTGAGACCAGACCAATTAAGGTCGGATTTTTTTGATAGTGAAAAGTATTTGAACTAGAAATGTATAAAATTTTTTTTTGCAGGTTCTATAACTTTGCAATGTGAGGCAAAGAAGGTTCGATTTTTCCTGATCACCCTTCATATTATTATATGCACTCAGGAATCAGATTAAGCTGGACCATTCTAGTTTTCCTGATCACTCTTCATATTATTATATGTACTCAGGAATCAGATTAAGCTAGACCATTCTAGTTTTCCTGATCAGATTAAGCTAGACCATTCTAGTTTTCCTGATCTTCATATTATTATATGTACTCAGGAATCAGATTAAGCTAGACCATTCTAGTTCTTCATATTATTATATGTACTCAGGAATCTGATTAAGCTAGACCATTCTAGTTCTTCATAGCTGTCAACTGTGTGCATGGAATTTTGAAAGGGGGGGGGGAGGAATAAGTAACTCATAAAAGAGAAGCTTCAGTATCAAAACGTTGCTGTTTCCTTTGAAGCTCCATCTTAGTAACAGTGCATAATAATGTTTTTCTAATTTAAAAATGTTGATTTTAAACAATGTTCATTATTGACTCTGCGGCTTAAATGCGTAAGTTAATATAAGAATGGACAAACAATTAAAATTAAACAATTTAAAGCTAAACAAATTAGGTTATCTAATTTACCCTTGATCAGACAAATGTTTAAAGGGTGAATCGGACACTACCCTGTTAGGGTAATCTAGAGATATTCAGTTTAATAATACATATCGCTTTTTTTTTAATGAAGTTATAAAATTTATTCGGTTTAATGCAAGTCAAGGTATTCATCTTATCATATTATTTGGATGAAAAAATTACGAAACTTCAATAATACCAAGAAAAAAATTAACTAACCAGAGCTGAAAACTTTAGAATGGTGGATATCAGGATTAATGCTTAATAGGTTCCTTTTCTTAATATCCAGTTTAAATATTGCTTGTTCTCCACATGAATTTAAACTCCAGAAAAGTCAACAGATCGGGATTAAGGATATCACATTCTAAAGTTTTCAGCTCTGAAGATTTATCTTGCACTTTTTAAATCACATTCCAATTAAGGATAAGCGGTAAAGCAACAAAATTAGAAAAAAGAAATGAAAGAAAGACTTGCCGGGGACTGACTTTAATGAATTTATGCCGAACCACATACTGCCGTGGTTTAAATTTGAACCACTAATTAAAAGTTAAAGATTCAAGAAGGAGTTGAATCGGTGATTCAAGTTTAGGCATTCAAATTCATTAGATTCTGTCTCAGACTGCTTAACTTAAACCGCTAAAGGTCCAACCAAATGCGCGCATTATGATAAAATTACGAATTCAAAAGTTTTGAGCTCTAAGGAAGCCTGATCTGATGATAATAGATTTGTTGTTTCTTATGCTGTGCTGGGTCCCTGCTCTGGTGTTTAGGGTTCAGAAGCATTTCCAGGTTTAACATGATTTTTTTTACCTTCAGTTTAGTGTGTCCCAGGAAACAAGAAAACAGGTTGTAAATAGTTTTAAATATTTTCTGACATATATTACTGTATTACATTATTTCACACTTTTTGCAGTTTATTTCGTGAAAAAAAATGTTACTCAAATATATTCTACTTTCAAAAGACTGCCAAATACTTTTTATTAATCTCATCTATAGCATGTTATGAAAAAAGACATTTTAAACTATTCACCAAGAGTAATTTCAATTGACCCAATGTTTTTTTAAAGAGGGAAACCTTTGACTGATCATTGGGGATGGAGATCTTTTTGTGTTTTTCTCTGAAAAGGTGTTAAAATTATCGTACAAATTTGAACTCCTCAAAAATTCAAAAATTTTTGTGTCTAACCGGTTTTGAAAAGTTCTAATGTAAATATTTATTTAATGAGACTTTTAAAAATATTAGAATTTCTTAAATCTAAAATAGCGTGCTCGACAATACCAAACATTTCTGTAGATAAATAGGGATACATCACTTATCTGTATAAAGTATAAAGGGCACACGTACTCTACTTAAATGATCAAGTGTGACAAACTTGTATCAGAGAAAAACACACGGAGTTCTCTACGCTCGACGATCTGTCACAGGGTTTAAATGAGACACTTCCCTTTGCATGGATGGAAGCTCACTATAATTTATTTGATCTAAGACGCCCTAAAGAAATGCAACATGCGTACACACAGTTTTGCATGAGGGGGCTGGGGGGGGGGGGCACACATTTCCCCCCATATTGAGTGAGACCTATAAAAATGTGAATTAAGAATACGAATTCTAATCAGAAATTAGAATTAAAAAGATTCCAATTAACAGGAAATACAGCAATTGTACACTGTACACAAAATTAGACCAATTTTACTTTATACGTTTAATTTTTAGCTACCATCGTATTTGCTTTAAATAACATTAAGTAGACCTAGGGATGGATCGCTATGAAAAACGTGCGTTTCGTTTTGAAAGAGACGAAGAAACCCGAAAAACTAAACGGCCGTTTTTTTAAACGATCGTTTCTGAAAAAGTTCGTCGATTCTAACGACCAGTAACAACGAACCTTCGTTAAAGATCGTTAACGACCTTTATAAGACAAAATTCTTAGTTTAGAAATTCTTTAGATCAGAAAACGTTCTGGTTATTTCTCTCGATAAAAAAAAACATTTCAAATAACATTCATAAACTTATCTTTTTGAAAAAAATAATGAAATTAATTGTCATAACATTTTTTTTCTTTCAAAATTCAAAACAAGTGATTCGTTTTCTAGACAATCGTTTTTTTCTAAAAACGAAACGATCGTTTAAAAAAAACGAAAAACGAAAAGAAACGTTTTTTCAAACGATTAACAACCTTGTATCTTTAAGTACACAGGAGAATGCTTAGATTTATTGTGCCTTCGTATACTATAATACTATGGTAGAATATTCAAAAAATGAATCCCCCCCTCCCCCTAACACAAATCAGTTATACAACCAAAACTTTTAAAAGAATGTGAAAATATTGGTTTTCAAGTTCAACAATGTTATAAAAAATGCATATCTGAGAGGGAAAAAGCAATTTGAAGTAAAACTTTAAATAATGCAGAATTAAGAGCAAAAAAGAGAACAACAATCTAAATACATCTTTAAAGATAGATATATTTACAATCTAAATACACCTCTAAAGATAGATATATTTATCATCTAAATATACCTTTATAGATGGATATATTTATAGATAGATATATTTATAATCAAAATCTATCTTTATAGATGGATATATTTATAGATAGATATATTTATCATCTAAATATACCTTTATAGATGGATATATTTATCATCTAAAAGTTTGACAATAACAATTTGTATATTTTAAACACATATATTTAGACTGCTTTGCAAAGGAATTGAGTTTTGCCACAAACTCTGATTTTCTAATTTCAATATAGTTGCAACCCAATGTCGTAGATCTTTAATAATATTTCAAACTATGAATTCGGTTAGATCAAATAATGTGAGTTTGAAATATCAAAGGTTTGCATCATAAGATTGCAAAGATATAGGTTTGGCAAAAATTGAATTTGTGGCAAAGACTCAATTTCTTTGCATTTATTTTGAATTGTCCGAACGCCTTGGCATTCAATTTTATCTCACCAACGCATAAATGATCATTTTTTGTAGCCCAGGACATATACATGTTTGAACTATAAAGCACTTGGCTTAGCTTTAGTAATTTTCAAAATCTCATTTTATTTAAAAGCTTGAAACTGAAATTTTAATATTTGCAGGTTGTTGCGAAGTATTGAGAATGTTTGTTTTGAATACGAAGTTCAAATGGAGAAATTAGAAGGAGAGGATTTTCTTTTTCTCTTTGATCTACTTGCTCATACATCAGGTACATCTTATATAAAGGAACTGTCATTCACATTTATAGTGACATTCAATTTAAAGATGGGGGCATGTTCTATTTCCGACCTTTCCCAACCTGTTCAATAATGCGGTAAATTTCGTAATTTTAGGCTTACCACGCAAATCTGCCCCTGTAGTAAAAGTAAATTCAACCTATATGAAGCATAAAGTCTGACCGCGTCAACCTTGTTGCACCGGCTAGTCCTGTCCATAGAGCTAGGTACAGTACAAACTGGCGGAAAGGTTGACCCGACTCGGAAATTCAAATGTACTACGGCTGCCCGTGTACGGCGTAAAATAAGTGCTTTTGATTTCTACTAATCTTATCTTCTATCTGTTGCGTCTAATAGGAAAAAATTGCTAAAAACGACTCATTCTGAAGAACGTAGTGTACATTTCAGAAAGTTGCAACATTCAACTCGGATCGTAAACAAATCAATTTAATTCCAAACAAATCATACAGATATTACAACCAATTATTATAGATAATTTTTCAACGCATTCGTATATAGTTAATATTTCATAATATTTTTTTTATGATCTGATTGTTACTTTTGAGAACATCTATTTTTGTTTCGAGGATTTTTTTCAAAAATGAAGACGACATTTTATATTTTCCAGGAATGTTCGAAAATCCAGCGCCAGCGAAATATTATTTAAAAAAACAAAATCAAAATTATTATCAAATATTAACTATACACGAATGCGTCGAAAAATAATCTATGACTACTGTTTGTAATATCTGAATGATTTGTTTGGAATTAAATTGATTATTTTACGTTCCGAGTTAAATGCTGCATCTTTCCGAATTTGTAGTCGTTTTTAACAAATTTCTCCCTAAAGACGTCACAGTAAAGAAGTAAGATTAGTAGTAATCAAATGCGCTTATTTTTCGCCCTTTCATTTTTCGTAAACACTCCTTTTAAAAAGTGATTATTTCTGATAATTTCTTCCATTATTTCTGGAGCAGAAATGCCATTTATAGAGAAACCCGAATAGAAAATTATAAATTTTCAAAAAAGAAAATGATGGATATTCTTTATGACTTATGAGACAAAGTATTGACCCTTTTTAAGTTCATTAACAAGAGTGGAAAAATGTAATTATCTAAATTTGTATGAACGCCACGCTTCTTTTGGGTGCTAGATGTTTTAAAACATTTTCTCCTCTTAGACGCAACAGATAGAAGTAAAATTAGTAGCGATCGATATCGAATTTTCGATACTTCCTTTCACTTTTCGCAAATACTCCCTTTAAAGTTTAACCTATTGAGAGAAGATAGGAATGTATATATCGAATAGGGTGAAATAAAAAGTGAAATTGTCATTTTTAATTTGATAAAATTTAAATTTTAAGAGAAAATAATTCTATTTATTAGAAACAATTTATAAAAACTGCTGCAATTGAGAAGAATTGCACAACAAGTATGCTAACATTTTTTTTAAGCTGAATTTGGACATTTTGGCGTATATTGTAATTCTTATCAAATATCTAATTGTGTAAAAGTCAGAATTGAAAAAACTATATTTTTGGTAAAAAATGGCTGTATTTGTGATAATTTTTTCTTGATATATTTTATAAAAAAAACTGATTAGATTTTGGGAAATTTATTTTTGGTCGTTTTTTTTGTTGTAAAACCACTAGCGCTTTGTTTTCCCCGCCCAACTGTCTAAGCCTGCTGAGCAAAATTATTTGAGATTTATTGACAAATGATTATTTTCAATAGCGGGTTTTCTCTGAAAGTGACTTGTGGGAAATTGCGCCACCACCGACACAATATAATTGAGATAAATAAGAAAAATATATTTTTCGTTGTTATCAGATTTTTCCAGACATTTTTTCTGACACAAGATCTCTAGCCTTTCAAGTTTTTTTTTCTGAATTTTGCTTCTAAAATTACAATTAATCCTACAGTATTAGAGTTCAAAGGAGTTGAGTCTTTGCCACAAACTCAAATTTTCTAATCCCTATATCTTTACAACCGGAAAGTGTAACCCTTTGATCCAACCTAGATTATTGTATCTAATACGATGCATAGTTTTAAATATCTAGGGTAGCCAGTCGGGTTGCAAAGATATAGGGATTAGAAATTCATAGTTTGTGTCTCATTTCCTTAAACTTAAAATTTAGGAATTGAATCTACGATGAGAGTTTTAACACATTCAGATAATACATTCAGTTTCCCAAATCAAAATGGTTGACTTTTAATTTTTTACTGTTGTCTTGAAGTGCTGTTATGCTTTTCATTCTTTGTATATATATATTATAAATATAATATAATCTGCTATATATATAGATGATATAACGAGTTATATTTGTGTGGATAGCTATAATATAAAACTATAATCTGCTATATATATATAGATGATATTAAAAAAATTATTCTTGTTTTACTTTTGCAAAATTGATTTTTTGGCAGATTTTTGAAAGAAAGCCTAAAAATTGAATTACTGTCATCATAACATATCGATTTCGAACAGGCAGGGAGGGGGGTGGTTTGCGGTTCAAAGTACCTATATAGAGATAGGGTCGAGGCCCATGTATTTTTTTTTTAGGTGGGTTAGCAAATAGAAGTAAAAGTGTTTAAATATATTATTCGAAATTTTACAAGAATTACAAAAAGATTATTTATATTTTTTTTTTAGGGTTAAAGGAGACAGCGATCATCTAAAGGCACACTTATTAACAAATTGAAAAAAACAAGACATTGACTTATTTTGATTTTGAAATTGTATTGATATGACTTTTTTGGTTTACATTGACTTGATAGTTTTGGTTTAGTCTGTTAGTAAATTGACATCACATTTCTCCTTTATTTTTATAAGTTTGTTGTTGTTGTTGTTGTTGTGTGCCATATTGAGAACATCAACGATAATATTCCTGCTAGAATATTTATATGAGATCTCTGATTTTGTAAATACATCAATAAGACTTCTTTAATGTATGTGTTTGCTCCTAATATCATTTTCCATAATTAATTTAAGAGGTGCTTTTGATTTCTACTAATCTTATCTNAAAGAAGGGTTGGGGTAGAATGTTGTTAAAAAGAAGGGTTGGGGTAGAATGTTGTTAAAAAGAAGGGTTGGGGTAGAATGTTGTTAAAAAGAAGGGTTGGGGTAGAATGTTGTTAAAAAGAAGGGTTGGGGTAGAATGTTGTTAAAAAGAAGGGTTGGGGTAGAATGTTGTTAAAAAGAAGGGTTGGGGTAGAATGTTGTTAAAAAAAAGGGTTGGGGTAGAATGTTGTTAAAAAGAAGGGTTGGGGTAGAATGTTGTTAAAAAGAAGGGTTGGGGTAGAATGTTGTTAAAAAGAAGGGTGGGGTAGAATGTTGTTAAAAAGAAGGGTTGGGGTAGAATGTTGTTAAAAAGAAGTATCTTCAAAGGTAGAAGAAGATAAAATGAAAATAACCTGGCATGCAGCAGCCATTGAGAAGTTTCTAGCAGGTCATATACAATCTTATACAATCTTATATAATCTTTACAATCTTTTATAATCTTATATAATCTTATACAATCTTATACAGTCTTTTATAATCTTATATAATCTTATACAATCTTATACAGTCTTTTATAATCTTATAAAATCTTATACAATCTTTTATAATCTTATATAAACTTATAAATCTTATACAGTCTTATACATCTTATACAGTCTTATACATTGAGAAGTTTCTAGCAGGTCATATACAATCTTATACAATCTTATATAATCTTTACAGTCTTTTATAATCTTATATAATCTTATACAATCTTATACAGCCTTTCATAATCTTATATAATCTTATACAATCTTATACAGTCTTTTACAATTATATACAATATTATACAATCTTACACATACTTATACAATCTTACACAATCTTATACAATCTTAAACAATCTTACACAATCTCATACAATCTAATACAATCTTATACAATCTTATACAATCTTACACAATCTTACACAATCTTATACATTCTAATACAATCATATACAATCTTACCCAATCTTATACAATCTTATACAGTCTAATAAAATATTACATAATCTTATACAATCTTATTCTATCTTTTTTAATCTTATTCAATCTTATACAATCTTATACACTCTTATACGATCTTATACAATCTTACAATCTTTTACAATCTTTTAAAATCTTATATAATCTTATACCTTCTTATAAAATCTTAAACAATCTTATTCAATCTCATACAATCTTATGCAATCCTATACAGTCTTATTCAATCTTATGCAATCTTATACAATCAATTCTTGTATAATCTTATACGATCAATTCTTGTGTGATCTTATACAATCAATTTTTGTATAATCTTATACAATCAATTCTTGTATAATCTTATACAATCAATTCTTGTATAATCTTATACAATCAATTCTTGTATATTCTTACACAATCAATTCTTGTATAATCTTATACAATCAATTCTTGTATAATTTTATACAATCAATTCTTGTATAATCTTATACAATCTTTAACAATCTTACAATCTTATTTAATCTTATTCAACCTTAAACAATCTAATACAATCTTATGAAATCTAATCAATATTTCAAAATCTTATACAATCTTACACAATCTTATACAGTAATATATAAAAGATAAAACATGTTATATATTTGTGTGGATAGCTATAATGTAACAATTATACTCTGTTTATACAGTTAAATACCCTGCTATATATAGATGATATAACGAGTTATATTTGTGTGGATTATAGCTATAATATAACACTATAATATGCTATATATATAGATGATATAACGAGTTATATTTGTGTGGATAGCTATAATATAAAACTATAATCTGCTATATATATATAGATGATATAACGAGCGATATTTGTGTGGATAGCTATACTATAACACTATAATCTGCTCTATATATAGATGATATAACGAGTGATATTTGTGTGGATAGCTATAATATAAAACTATAATCTGCTATATATATATAGATGATATAACGAGCGATATTTGTGTGGATAGCTATAATATAACACTATAATCTGCTCTTTATATAGATGATATAACGAGTGATATTTGTGTGGATAGCCATAATATAACACTATAATCTGCTATATATATATATAGATGATATAACGAGTTATATTTGTGTGGATAGCTATAATATAACAATATAATCTACTATATATATATAGATGATATAACGAGCGATATTTGTGTGGATAGCTATAATATAACACTATAATCTGCTATATATATATATATATATAGATGATATAACGAGTGATATTTGTGTGGATAGCCATAATATAACACTATAATCTGCTATATATATAGATGATATAACGAGTGATATTTGTGTGGATAGCTATGATGTAACAATATACCCTGCAGAATCTATCAAGAATTCTGTCACAAAAAGGGCAAAACTGAGGTAACAAAAATATTTAACAAAAAAATTAATTAAAAAATATAAAATTCACATATAAATTGAAATATCTATGTTTTCATTCAATACTTATCTCATTGAAGAGCTATTCAAAAGCTATTTCTAAGATGTAACCGGGGTTTTTCTGTTTACTTGAGAATTTAGTCTTATCTAGCGCACGGAGCCACGAGTTCACAAAGTCGTAGCAGGAATATTGCAAAAATATCTCCTTCTATCTAATAAACAATATTAGTAATGGCAACATGTTTTCTAATGAAATCCCATGTGGGCTGATGATAATGGAAACCAGAAAAACATTATTTTTAAAATATTTTTAAAGACCATGTTTTTTTAGGGAAACTCCAGGAGCTGATGATGTTTACAGTGCTTGGTTTTTTGATCTGGCAGGTAGTTTAAACACTTAAAAGGACTGTTCGTGTAATTTTTACAAAAGTAGTTTTGCGAATTGTTGCAATAATTACACCTAATAACCGAAACTTCAATTTGAAAGTATTTAAGTTATCTAATCAGATTGGACATAATTATAGCGCCCATATCCTTACACATATTTTCCCCCTATATTCATTTCTGAGAATTAATATGTACTTTACTGATTACGGAATGGTTTTGTATTACGTAATTTTGCGTAATTACGCCTTAATTAACTAATTAAATAAATATTTTAGATTCTGACCGACCTTTTGACCAAACTATTTCCTGCTCTATGCATCAAAAAATTGTAAACAATCTTTTATATAACTATTCGTTAAAGTTATAAATTTCAAGGTGACAGTGTCAAAATTGAGAGTGCTAGGGCAAACAAAACTATAAGACACCAAACGTCCCCCCCCCCACAGCATGTTTAGGGATGACAAAGGAATTACAATAGTTTTTGCATTTTATGTTTTTTATTTTGTAGGTGGTAAAACGGAATATATTTTGTAGGTGGTAATACAGAATATATTTTGTAGGTTGTAAAACAGAATATATTTTCTAGGTGGTAAAACGGAATATACTTTGTAGGTGGTAAAACAGAATATATTTTGTAGGTGGTAAAACGGTATATATTTTGTAGGTGGTGAAACGGAATATATTTTGTAGGTTGTAAAACGGAATATATTTTGTAGGTGGTAAAACAGAATATATTTTGAAGGTGGTAAAACGAAATATATTTTGTAGGTGGTAAAACAGAATATATTTTGTAGGTGGTAAAACGGAATATATTTTGTAGGTGGTAAAACGGAATATATTTTGTAGGTGGTAAAACAGAATATTTTTTTGTAGGTGGTAAAACAGAATATATTTTGTAGGTGGTAAACGGATTATATTTTGTAGGTGGTAAAATGGAATATATTTTGGAAGTGGTAAAACGGAATATATTTTGTGGGTGGTAAAACAGAATATATTTTGCAGTTGGTAAAACGGAATATATTTTGTAGGGGGTAAAACGGAATATATTTTGTAAGTGGTAAAACGGAGTATATTTTGTAGGTGGTAAAACGGAATATATTTTGTAGGTCGTATAACGGAATGTATTTTGTAGGTGGTAAAACGGAATATATCATAACAATTGCCTGTGTTATTGGGAGATCAAGAATGAAGGTAAAAAATGTTGAAAAGCACTGTTTTAATAAATTCACGTGACCCCTATAAATAAAAGGTTTTAACCGAATAACCTCAAAGCATTAAAATTTAAGAATTCAAGATGGCAGTCTTCAAGTGAGCCTCCGGATTTAGATTTTAGCCATTTTAGTTTTTATTCAATATCCCGCATGGTATATCTTACCCTGCAGGAATAACTATAATGAAAAGATTAAGCATTGATCCTCTTTAAAGTATACCTGGACAGCAAGACTGAGAAAGTTTAAGAAAAGGGTTTGTGTTATCCTATTTACTTTGATTCCTGATGAATAAACAGACACAAAACATTATCCCTGTAAATAACATAGACAGGATATTTCTATAGATGGGACATTTCATTGGTAGAATTCATTTCATTTCATGGCTTGTCTATGAAATATATGTCCTGTCTATATGTATAATCTTAGATATTCAAGTTTTTGTTTTTGCAGAATTGACGTAAAATTGAAAATAGTGATGATTGGGGGGAGGGGGAGTGGGAGTAGATAGAGGGCTTAGGGGTAGGCGGAATGAGTTTGATTAGGGAGAGGGAGTGGTGGGGTTATGGGTAGTATGAGTGGGGGTTGGGATAGACGGGAGTGTGCTAGGAGGAGACAGGAGTTATATTTTCAATTATTTATCTAGGGAGAGAGAATAGTGACAACCTTACTCCCTTACGGACCAGAGAAACCAAGGTATACATGTTATATCTTATTCATTTTATTCAAAACAATACAATTTGAGAAAAGTGTTGTTATGTTTAGGTGTCGGTAAAAATATACAAAAGTGTTCAACATATTGAAAATTAGGGTCTAACATATTATAATTTTTTTTTCAACAAAATCAATTAGTACTTTTTCCCAAAAGTTATCTATTTTTATTAGAAAAACAAACAAAGATATCTTCATCATCAACTAACTATTTAAAGTCTGTATGGTTGTATAGAAATTAGAAACTCAAAATACATAATCTGTAGATAAATGATAAAAGCTAAAAGATTTTAAAGATAAAGCTAAGATGGAAGTTTAGATTTAATTAATTGAGAAATTTAATTAATTTAGCTCAATTTCGACTCCATTGATCTTTCTAGTTTTTGTTTCCTGATTTAAACTTTTAAAGCATTGCTTGACATTGTATAATGTAAATACTAAACAGAGACACATAGTTAGCATTTTTAATTACTAGTCAATAGTTTTTTACATTTAAATTTGAGTTCTTTCTTTGTCCGTTTTATATCCAATAAACGTTCAAACTATACTGAACATATCGGGTCCAATTTTTTTGTGGCAACTCACCTTCGTTTCTTTTCAAAATTATAAAATTTTGCCAAGAAAAAACTTGTCTTTTCTTTTATTTTATAAGTCCTAAATGGGAAATGTGTGAGATCCGCCAAAAAAAGCTAAACATGATTTTTAGTAATTTATCAATTTTTATTTGTTACAATTGATATTTTATATATTTTCAGGGCAGGAATGCTAAAAGTTGCAATGATGACGGTAATATATATATACTACTTTTATTTAAATATTATTATATTGCTTTTTGAGAAAAAGAGTATTGAGTTACAATGATTTGGAAAATTAGAGGTTAACCTATAAAACTTTTCAAACAAAAAATTCTTTTCCGCAACTAAATTTTTTAATCCCTCATGCTTTGTAACATGATGATTAAAACCTTTAATATTTTAAACCTGGATTATTTAATCATATTTTGAAATATCTCAGGGTTTCGAGATAAAAGAATTAGAAAATCAGAGTTTGTGGCAAAGACTCAATTCCTTTAAATAAAGTGTTCCCCGGCCTATTATAACATAAGTACCGCTCAAAAATATCCTAAGAAAAAGAATGTTAAATAAAAGTATTTTACAATGTATATTTGAATAGGAAAATTGAGCATTTTGGTCTTCATGGTAATCTTTGAATCTTAGTGAACAATCCCTTTAACAATATTTTTTTTTCTCAGGAGGTTGAAATCAGTTGGGAGCCTCCTAAAGGAGAGTTCACTAAATATGTTCTAGCAGGAAGAGAAAATATTCATTATTATCTAAAATAATTTATGAATATCATAATCATCACACCTTTATCATTATTTTTTTTATGCTTAAAAACAAAAATCATCATTATTGTTCTGTTTTAAAAATTAAGGGTTTTAAAATTTTCAAAAAATATTCCCCTCTCATTTCTCTCCTCTAAAGGAAGTGTTTGCGAATTTGATTGGGTTTTTATCGCTTCTAATTTTACTTCTGTCTGTTCCGTATATAAGCTGGGAGAAAATGTACCTAGAACCCATATTAATTCACAGACTTGCATTATTTCACCCAAACTTTTGATAAGTCAAATGAATTTAAAACTAAGGGTAGGTTACATATCATGTTTTTTTTTTGTATACAATGTACTATGGATATTGGATCAGATGTTTTTTAGACGCTAGGTTACATCTCAATATTTCAGGGATTTCATTTGGGAGAGACACCTGGCGGCCAAAAATCGTCGACTCAAGAACATTGCATATAAAAGAAAAAAGATATTGTGATATCAATTAGGAAGCATCCCATACCCCCTTTCATTTCACGCGAACACTCCCTTTAAGGAAATTATTTTCAGCTTTGGAAATTAAAATGCATGAAAATATATACCCCAATATAATTCTTAATTTATCATTATCATGCAGAACGGTGAAGGATTATTTTCTCAACCATTATTTAAAATATTTAATGAATTAAAGGGACTACAAGCGTAATATCTTAAAGGGAGTGACCGGCCATGTAAGGTAGTTGAACTGAGTATGCAGTGTTGTGGAAAAATTCTTTCAGATTCATTTTATTTAAAAATTAAAAAAAAACTAATTCTGAAAACGTATCCACCCCCAAAGTAGGAGTTTTGAACGTCGAATTTGCGCCAAGACTCAGGATTTACAGGTCTTTAAAAAGTTTAATATGTCTCAAATGAATCCGAAAGAAGTTTTCCACAACACTGCATACTCAGTTCAACTACCTTACATAGCCGGTCACTCCCTTTAAGTGACCCTCAATGCGAAGATAAGAATGCTCGATTTACAATGTTACCCTTGAATCCTGTATCAAATCAAAATATAGAGGATATCAAAGTTTTCAGGACTCAACACTCAAGTGTTTATATCTGTTAATGCTCAAACCAAAATGCAGAGAAGCCAAAAATTTAAATAAACTAATAATACAAAGCTTTTCAAGGCTACCGTTGTAAATCGGGCATTGTCATCTTTACATGATGGGTCACTTGAAATTACGCTTTTAGAAAAATAAAAATTAATAAATAATGAGTAGCATGATAAATAAAGTGAGTCCTGTGGATACACCGCCTTTTACTCCACGACAGAAGCTTATTTCCTTAAACCTGTTTCCTTTCAACAACGGGTCCAATAAAAGGTGCGCATGTAAACAAAAGTGCCGCTCATGAACACAAAAATGCCGCACATATAGACAAAAAATGTAAAAAATGACGCGTATGTAAACATAAAATGCCACATATGTTAACAAAAATGCCGCGCATGGAAATGAAAATGCCATGGATCTATACAAAAATGCTGGGCATGCAAACAAAAATTCTGCGCATTTAAGCATCGCCGCGCAGGTTAATAAAAGTGCTTTGCATGAAAAAAAATGCTGAGCATTTAAAAAAGTGCTTCAAATGTTAACAAAAATGCTGGGCATGTGCAAAAAAATACCGCTCATGTAAACAAAAGTGCTGCAGTGGTAAACAAAAATAATGCGCATGAAAAAAAATGTTGTGTCATGAAAATAATAATGCCACACATTTAAAGGGAATGTCGTTGTAATTTCAAGTGACCCGGTCCATTTAAAAAGGGGCTTTTTTGATATTCTTGACACACTTATCTGATTAATAATGTGAAAGATAATTTCGTTTTTCTAGTTTGCTTGATTCTGATAATTCTTAAATTATTCTTTTGCAGAAGAAATGTCACTTTTAAGGGTGCCATTGTTAATCAAATATGTCACTCTATAAATTAAAGGTCACTTGAAAATACGCGTACAGTCCCTTTAAGAGTATATTGATGGTTCAGGGATGGATTGTAGTCTAAATTATTGTTCCGTAAACTGCTGTTAAATTAATTAATTTATCCCTATAAATCTAAAAATAGCGCATCTGCAATATTTCAGTATAGACGACGGTCGAAAGCACTTTATCATTCTATTCAACGAACACGATTGTACAGAATTCATGCATTTTGTTCTTGTTATCAATATATTTGATAACTTTCAACCTTTACAGTCCTGAAGATTATTAGGTCGTCTGAAGTTTCAGCCTTTGCGCGGGTAACCCAGTCTTAATTGCTTTTCAAGTTTATGTATTCACTTTATACCTTGCCTAAACATCAAGTCTCCGACATACCGATGTCAAACATCAAAAGTCCAGAACTATTTACCCGACATCTTTGCTATCATAACTATATTTGGTTTAAACGTTTCCTGGGGATTGGTTACCACTGTACATAATAATCATTCGTTAAACATTTTCTAGCTATAATTTAGTTGTGACTTCCTGGCTGGCTAGTGCCTAGCCTGGGAAATCGCTGCTAAATCACAGCTAGAAAATTTTTAACGAATCGGATAACTATATATGCATGATGAATATTGGTTTGGTTTGGTTCAATAGTTCAAGAATGTGATACACCGGCCTTTAAACCTAGAACTCGGCTTCTAACCCTGCTCTCGCAGCACAGCAATAACAGGTTAAAGTACACACTGTAAAAATAGGCATACGCAAACACTGTAAAAAAGTGCTTTTGATTTTTACCTGTTAACTCTAATTGTGTTTATAATGAGAAAAGTGTGTTCCATCCATATCAGTTTGATTGAATTGAATTCTTTTTAAAAATATGTCTTTTGCTCTGTAAATGATATTCTAAGAACTAAGTTGCTTTAAAACTTTCCCAAATCAAAATGGTTGACTTTTAATTTTTTACTGTTGTCTTGAAGTGCTGTTATGCTTTTCATTCTTTGTATATATATATTATAAATATAAATATAAATATAGAGAGAACAATAGCCAATTCCATCAGATTGATGTATTCAAACGTACATTTGAACCATCGCAGACATAAATATAAAAAAGGAATACACAACAGATATCAAATAAACGTTTCTTGCAGTACACTTTTTTAAAACAAAGTTTTGTGGATTTCTGATGTGTATTCTATCTGGTTTATATTTATTCTAAAAGAGAAAAGGGTCAGGGGCGTACTGGACCAGTAAAAATCTATTTATTTCAGGGGGTTTTCAGGCCCCAACGGGTGCTGAGCCCCCCCCCCCCTGGAAAAAAGAATAAAAAATTTAAGTCCCCCCTGGACAAATTCCTGAGTAGGCCCCTGACAAGGGTTATGGAGACTTGTATTTTACGTACTTAGTGTTCCAGACAAACATGGTGAAACATTAAAAAATATCCTTCAAACATTGTAACTTGAAGCATCATGTTTTTTGGTCGGTACTAATAGTCTTAGAGAATGTGCATGATCATTTAAACTTTTCATGAATTTTAACTTATATTTTTTTTTGCATATTAGTATAGTATATGAATAAAAATCAATAAAGCAATGCACTGAGTTTCTCAAATATTCAACGCGTCGGTTTTTCTTACAATATATTTATATACAAAAGATACAAACTTTAAATCGAACGATACTAATACAAACGAGATATTATGAATCTAATCAGATCTATCAAACAGGAGACATTTTACATTTTCATTTTCATCGTCTCACTTACACAAATTAAATATTGTTAATCAAATTAGTTTCGTCAAATAGGGGAATTCTTCAAGGGAACCTTAATTCAAGGGAGCTGAATCACAACTGTCTTTTTTCCCTCTATTTCGCTCCCCCCTTAGTTCGCATTCTACCCCACGCCCTGTGAGCTGGCCGGCCAGCTCCCCAGCTCCCGGGTTTGGAGATAACGGATTTCTCCGCTTGGCTTGGGTTAAATATAGAAACCAAACATAAACAAGAAAACCCGTTAAATATCAGTAAAAGGTGGGGGGGAGGCAAAATGGGGTTGAGTGCGAACGAAGGGTAAAAATAACTGACAAACAAAATGCTATTTACAGTCGCAGGAAAGATCAAAACATCATTTTCCTGCTACATTAGAATTCTTTTTCTTCATTTTTCAGAATCATTTTTTTTGCTCTTTTAAGAGAAGCTTAATAAACCGCATATTGGATAAGTATTTTAAATCCTTTTAAGAAATTTGTGCATTAAATGCGTCACAATTTATCCAAATTATCATTTTTAAAAACAAAATTTTTTTGACAAATTGCAGAAAAAAAGATTATCCCAAAATTTTCTTAGTATTTGAGGTAAAATATTGAAAATTCTTTTTAGATTTGAGATTGTCGTCTTCTCTTTGACTTTGGAGTTTGAAAAAAGGGAAAGCAATAAATAAAACTTTTATTGAAAAACTGAAGGATAAAATAAAAAAACCTTGAAAAAACAAAAAAATCCAGAGACTAGATTTAATGAAGAGCAAGAAGTAGTTGAACTGCTTAGACAGAGTACAAGAGAAGTGGTTCAATTATGCCTACGTAGTGCAACTTCTTTTGCTTCAATTGAATCTTGTCCCAGATAAGTCTTTTTGCCATAAAAACATTGATGCCAATGTGTTTGTGCATGTTTTTATTTTTCATTTTTTATCATATTAAGAACAGTTTGCATTATGTACAGTTTGCAGTATGTACAGTTTGCTGCATGTACAGTTTGCAGCATGTACAGTTTGCAGCATGTACAGTTTGCAGCATGTACATTGTACAGTTTGCAGCATGTACAGTTTGCAGTATGTACATTGTACAGTTTTCAGCATGTACAGTTTGCAATATGTACAGTTTGCAGCATGTACAGTTTGCAGCATGTACAGCTTTCAGCATGTACAGTTTGCAGCATGTACAGTTTGCAGTATGTACAGTTTGCAGTATGTACAGTTTGCAGCATGTTCAGTTTGGAGCATGTACAGTTTGCAGCATGTACATTGTACAGTTTGCAGCATGTACAGTTTGCAGCATGTAGAGTTTGCAGCATGCACATTGTACAGTTTGCAGCATGTACAGTTTGCAGCATGTACAGTTTGCAGCATGTAAATTGTACAGTTTGCAGCATGTACATTGTACAGTTTGCAGCATGTACAGTTTGCAGTATGTACAGTTTGCAGCATGTACAGTTTTCAGTATGTACAGTTTGCAGCATTTACAGTTTTCAGTATGTACAGTTTGAAGTATGTACAGTTTTCAGCATGTACAGTTTGCAGCATGTACAGTTTGCAGCATGTACTGTTTGCAGTATGTACAGTTTGCAGCATATACAGTTTTCAGTATGTACAGTTTGCAGCATGTACAGTTTTCAGTATGTAAAGTTTGCAGTATGTACAGTTTGCAGCATGTACAGTTTTCAGCATGTACAGTTTGCAATATGCACAGTTTGCAGCATGTACAGTTTGCAGCATGTACAGTTTGCAGCATGTACAGTTTTCAGCATGTACAGTTTGCAATATGTACATTGTACAGTTTGCAGCATGTACAGTTTGCAGCATGTACAGTTTGCAGCTATGTACAGTTTGCAGCATGTACAGTTTGCAGCATGTACAGTTTGCAGCATGTACAGTTTGCAGCATGTACAGTTTGCAACATGTACAGTTTGCGGCATGTACAGTTTTTAGCATGTACAGTTTTCAGCATGTACAGTTGGACTAACAACGGTTTTGTTGATTAATTAAATCATTTTTTACTTGGAAATAAAACCTTTTTAGTTTGTTTTCTGTAGATAGTATGTTGTTGATGTTAAGAGAACTAACCTTGAATATTTGCCTAATTTGCAGTTGATTCTTCAGTAACAACAACCCTAGCTCCTAAGAGATTTGTCCCAATGATAATTGTGCCCAGGTATATTACAGGGGAACCCACAAAGGATGAAACTATAATAACGACCTTAAATATTTTAATAGTTTCAAATTGTTCCATATATAGAATAATAGATAAAAGAATGTAACAAGTTCACAGTTGCTTCGATCCAATCACAGATGTAAGAAAAAATACAAATAAATCCCATACAGTCGTCTCTGAATTTTCATCCTTTGTGGGTAGCTCTGTACATTTGAGGTATTATCAGGGGTAGGACTGAAAATTAACCAAAATACGTTTACTAATGTTCGATGGGTAACATTTTTCGGAGGGGGACACAATTTTCTAAAATACCCCCCCCCCCCCTTTTCGTAGACGAACAACATCAAATTGAACCAAATACTGAATTTAATGAATTGTAGAGTTCACTGAACTACCTTTTGTTGGATTAAAAGTTAAATATATTCATGAGGATCTGAATTGGTGGTTCAGGATTTGAACCGGCGATATAAGTATAGTTCAGCGACCTCCCTATTCATTAAATTCGGTCGGTTCTTCATGTGCGTCACATTAAAGTCACAAAAGAATTGATAAAATTTATAAAAAATAGTTTATCATTGTATTATTGAACTTCAAGGGATAACTTTTAATACATTTAGATTAAATTTTGTAGATATTTATTATGGTAGAAATAATGTTGATATAAATAATAATAGTATGCTTACGATTATAATTAAATTTTCAATTATCTTACACCCTTTTTATATTTCTTAAGATTTTTAAGTGCTGAAAGGAATTGCGTCTTTGCCACAAGCTCTGTATTACTCATAGAGAATAGAATATATGTTAGAGAGGAATTTAAAGAATCTCTCGGTATGATTTTTTTCAGTCCCATTCAGCCTGAAAGGGATCGTTCAAAGTGTACAAATCATGTAAATGTTCACAAATTATATGCAGTAGAGTACATTAATACAGTATGTTCCCTAGACTATTCGTTTCAATTTCGAAATTTTTAAAGGTGTTAAATAAACTTTATAATGAATTAGGTGAATAAAAACCATCATTTGATTTATAGTTATTATTATCGTTTGTAAAATGAAATGCATAGGGTCTATGTGAAATGATCATTGGTCAATTATATTAATTATTTTATAATTTGGTTTTCTTTTAACATTAATTTTAGATTTTCTATAAAATGATATTCCAGGGCCCAAAAGGTTATAGAACAAATATGTGAAGTACACCTGCAGTATGGAAACAGTACAACAAAATGGCCGTTTTACACTTTTTTCTAGTAAATTCCCCTCTAATATATATTCTATTCTCTATGGTATATATATTACTACTAGTCCATAATTATCTTTGCAATACAATGTCGTACCTAAGATATTTCAAATTATGAACTCTGTTAGATTGAAATACCAAAGATTTACACCATCAGGTTGCATTAGAAAATTTGAATTTATAGTAAAGACTCAATTCCTTTGTTATCATTTTACAATATTGATTAGTTAATGTATTATTCGTACATTTAGTTCTTTACATTTTTAGTTGTTTTGTAGATATTATATAATAGTATTTTTTATATATATAAAGTAATGAAAAGCATGGTAGTGTTTTTTGTATTTAGAATTTTATTCTTTATTTTAGTTTGTTTAAATTTTAATACTTTAATATATTATTAGTTAGGGATAAAGTTAGGTTTTTTCATAACGTATTCTACAGGAATCGAATATGTAAATATGTATGAGATGAAAATTTTTGAATATGATAGTACAGCTGATTCAATTTATTCTAATCTACAAGTTAAATATCTCTTTAAGCTGTTTAAGCTTAAAACATATAGTGAACACCAAATTAAATTAAAAACGAATTAATTTCAAACAAAATATGACTTTTTTGGTGTAAAAATAGGTGTATTTTAATCTGATTTGTGGATTCATTTTTTTGCACTGTTTCAGAGTGAACATTGTATATAGTGTTCAGATAATTTGAGATTATGATTTCTGTAAAATCTGTTCGTAAAGTTAATGAGTTTTTGCTACAAACTCAAATTTGATAATCTCTTTATTTTTGCAACCTGATGTTTAAATACTTTAAACTATAAATTGTAATCTAAGTTTTAAATATCAATGGCTTACATCATCAGGTTGCATAGATATGGGGATTAGAAAAATTTTGGTTTATGACAAAGACTCTAAATTCTTTTGTTAAATATGTTGATTTTTACAAAATCTGATTTAACCTTTTATTTTGTGTCGGGGAAATTCTAGTTTTTTTCTTTCAAATTCCTCAAGTCAAAAAGTTATATTTTTTATTTTAGTTTTTCGACTGGAAGCCTCCCAGATTCTTCAGGAGATCTCCGGCAGCATAAGGTAATAAAAAATACAACCCAGTCCTCTATATGAAGCCTCGCCCCCACCCTTCCTCTCTTTCTATAAACCTAGTGATTTATTGCTTTTTTAACAACACCCAGCGTGCCACTCCCCTTTTTTGTGAAACCTAGCTTGCCCCCCCCCCCCTCTCACCTTAAAAGTTAGCTTGTCCGTACTTCTTTAGAGGTTTAATCGTCTTCCTATTTCAGAGTTTTCTGGTTCTCATTGTAGCAAAATTGGAAGATATTGATTTTTGAATTTATTAGGGTGCAATTGTTTAACATATCCTAACTTAAATTTTCTGATTAGTCCCGAAAATCGCACTTAAAAACAACAAACTATCCGAAATGATGGGGGACACCCCGTAGAAAAGCTTGTTAAGGAAATGGCTTGCTTTTCATCCATTTAGCTCACTAGAGGGAGATGAATTCCTTTCACGTCAAACTTAAGTAAATTTTACGAAATATCGAAATCTAACATGTTTTCAATTATATCTCCTCTTAAGAACCATGGATGCTTTAAATTTCTAATATATAATTGGAGAAAGGAATTGAGTCTTTGCAACACAAACAAGTTTTCAAATCCTTATATCTTTGCAATCAGAAGATGTAAACCTTTGTTATTTCAAACTTAGACTATATATGGTTTAAAATATCTTAGGTCTACAACATTGGATTTGTAATATTTAGGGCCTAGACAATTTAGAGTGTGTGGCAAAGACTCAATTCCGTTGCGCTTCTGATACTCGTTCAAAAATCAAAACTATTGGAGGTTTAAAGCTTTACCAGAAATGTCGTATAAATTTTCCTTCTCGTTCTGTTTAGTTTACAGTTCTTCGGTGTACTTTTCCGGTTTTCCGTTTGAAGTGTGTTTGTATACATGTACAGCGTACAACTTGCCCTGCCTGCCTAGAAGTCGGTACGGTTGTACAATAGAACTGTAGTTTTCAGTGTCATATTATTTTTTACCTTCACAACCTAGAACAGGAAAATTCTCTGAACTTTTTATAAATTAATCAATTGCTTTTCAATTTACGAATTAAAGTTTCCCTTGGGTCTTTCTATATAATTCTAAATGTTTGATGTCATAAATACCTTGCTAGTTCTAGGAAATTTTATTTTATTTCAAAATAGAAATGCCAAACATTTCATGCCCTCCCTCCTGAACATGACAATTTCTTGCGGCATAGCTTTGGATAAAAACAATATTTTGGTAAATTAAAAAAGAGTAAAAGATCTATGAAAACCAATAAGGGTTAAATTTTTGCAACAAAATAAAACACGGGGGAAAAAGTAAATTATCTCTCGAAAGTTGCCTAAAATCAAATAAAATAAAAGTGTTGAACACTTGTATATTCCCATATTTTTGCAAACATAAACAATATCTAGCAATTATCGTTATGATTATTTTGTTAGTAAATATTAATATTTGAACAGATATTATCATCATTATTATTATTATTATTATTATTATTATTATTATTATTATTATTATTATTATTATTATTATTATTATTATTATTATTATTATTATTATAATTTGTCCAGGGATATCGAGAGAGAGAATTGAGTAATAAGTTGACTAACTTTACAGTGGCTGGTCTCAGTCCTGGAGAAACATACGGAATACAACTCAAAACTAAGGTTTATTATAATTATATTTTAAAACCGACATCTCTAAGAAATGTAAAATTTTCATCTGACAAAATTTGTTCGAGCACCGGATTCTTAATTGCGCGATTCTTTAAACGTTGAAGAATGATGAGTTTCATCTTAAAAAATTTGACATTTTTTAGAGTTTATAAAATGAAATAAAGTGTTGAATCTCTTAAAAATAAAATAAAATCTAATTATTATTCCCTTTAATAATATATATTTCAGACTGGAGACCGTGAGACCCGAAATGCTATATTTGAGACGGTTTTAACGAAACCCGGACCTGTGAACTCCCTTGGATTAGAGGATATTGGAACAGGAATATACAAGATTTAAACATTCTTTAAACATTTTTGTTTATTCTTCATGTTACATACAAATACTATACCTATGGTGTCTCTGAAAAAAAGCGTGTTTAAGCTTTATCGTCCAGATAGAAAATAAGATAAGTAGCGATCTAAAGCGATTATTTTTCGCCGTAAGCCTTTACCCCATTTCATTTTTCGCGAACGCTCCCTTTAACGTCGAAATTTTTGTGTTTAAAAGTGTTCCTAACATAGGTACAATGCCTGTAAATGGCTCGTGAAGAAGCCGTTCGTTAACAATTTCGATTTTTTAACAGTGTCAGCTGTAGAGTGTAGATATGCCAAATATTCTTTATCTGCCTTCAACATTAATGCAGTTAACGAGAGTTGTACTTGATACAATTAATAAATGGCCTTGGGGTTTAATTTTCTACCATTTAATTTAATCCATGAAGATACACAGAATGTTATTTAAAAATTAAATTTTTCAAAATTTTTTAAATTTTCCCTTAATTTTTTTATGATTTCGTTGATTTCGTTAATTTTTAAAAACTGTCGTTCGCTAACCCGGTCTTAGCTACCCACATTTAAAAAGCAATACAAAACTGAACCAGTGCATAGTAATGAGTAATGTTCATGCAATAAATAGATCTATCTGACATCTAATCCAGTTTTACTTGGGCTGCATGTATTGTTGACTAGCTTGAAGACCCAGCTTTGCCTGGAAACTAAAATTTCTTTTTTAAAGTCATCTCACTCAAAGTTTAACTATTAAACCAGCTAAGAACACTACCGCAGTTCTACCAAGTCCCCCCAATTAAAATTAAAAATTACATACAACATCAAACAAACAGAGATTACTTTTTTATAAAAAAAATGATTATTTATTAAAACTGTATATCATGCAGAGCAAGCAACTGTAAAATGGGTAGCTCCTGAAGGGCACTCCAGGCTTAGGTAAAAAAACATATCCAATCATTTTCAGGCAACAACTCCCCCTACAACAACTCCCATTACAACAATTACCCTTACAACAACTCCCCTTACAACAACTCCCCTTACAACAACTCCCTTTACAACAACTCGCCTTTTAACATTTAGCCTTGAATAACATCTGACCTTGATAACATCTGACTTTAATAATATTAAAATTTAAAAAATTTCAAGGCGAGTTTTAATTCTAATGTTTTCAAGGCAAGTTGTTTGTGAGGTTAGTTGTGTTGTGATAAGGAGAAAATGTGTGCAAGGCAATTTATTTTGGGTGGCCCTTTAAAAAATTGAAAGACCAAAAGAACGCCATGAACTATAGAAAACCCTAGGTTTTACAAAAAAAAAACTAACAAAACTCAGATAAATTGAAGTAGCCAATATATTGGATTTTAACGGATTCATTGGATTCCATTTCTTCAAGTCATCGAAAATTGTTGAGTTACTATATTTGTCCAACTATAAAATGATAAACAAAAGTAGTTATTATAAAAATGTTTAATTTGTATTGATTTAAAAATATTTCAGGGCATTCAATTTATTGATTACATCAAAGGTAATTAAAATTTTCAATTTATAAATATTATATAAATATTATATAAAAAATATATAAATATTTAAACATAATTTCACATTTTAAAAATAAAGTGTAATGTACTTTATCCTGTATTTCAATTAAAAACTAAAAAATTACAACTTTTCGAACTCAGAAAAATAACAAAGACGACAGTTACTCGACGCTGTTTATTGTTACCAACAACAGACTTACCGCGCGTACCTTAAGATATTATATTTAATTTTCACTGCTCATCTATCATTAATTGTCAGAAATTAATGTCGATCCTTAAATGATGAAATACTTTGATTAACGTGAATAGTTCCTGTATAATGTATTCTGCATCAGGATAACAAGGACAGGAAGGAGATGGCGGTCAAGCATAACCCAAATATTCCGGTCAATTCATTCGTTCTTGGTAAGTTTTCCCAATATTCCAGTAAATCATTCGTTCTTGGTAAGTTTTCCCAATAATCTGGTAAATTCATTCATTCTTGGTAAGTTTTCCCAATATTCCGGTAAATTCATTCATTCTTGGTAGGTTTTCCCAATATTCCGATAAATTCTTTCGTTCTTGGTAAGTTTTCCCAACATTCTGGTGAATTCATATGTTCTTGGTAAGTTTTCTCAATATTCCGGTAAATTCATTTGTTCTTGGTAAGTGAAATATTTCGGTGAATTCATTTGTTATTGGTAAGTTTGCCCAATATTTCGGTTAGTTAATTCGTTCTTGGTTAGTTTTCCCATTATTCCGGTCAATTCATTCGTTATTGGTAACTTTTCCCAGTTATCCAGTCAATTCATTTGTTTTTGATAAGTTTTTCTCTTTCTGGTCAATTCATTCGTTCTTGGTAAGTTTTTATTTTCCGGTTAATTCGTTCGTTCATGGTAAGTTTTCTTTTTCTAGTCAATTCATTTCTTTTTTATAGGTTTCCCATTATTCCGGTCAATTTATTCGTTCTTGGTAAATTTTCCCAATGTTACGGTCAATTTATTCGTTCTTGGTAAGTGTTCCCAACATTCTGGCCAATTTATTTGTTCAATTGGTAAGTTTTCCCAATATTCCGGGCAATTCACTTGATAAGTTTTCCCAATACTCAGGTCAATTCATTTGTTCTTGTTAACTTCTCCCAATATTCTGGTCAATACAATCATTCTTGGTAAGTTTTCCCAATATTCTTGTCAATTTATTCATTCTTGATAAGTTTTTCCCAATATTCCGGTCAATTCATTTCTGCTCGGTAAGTTTTCGCAATATTCCGGTCAATTCCTTCATCCTTGGTAAGTTTTCCCAATATTCTGGTCAATTCATACATTCTTTGTAAGTTTTCCCAATGCTCCGGCCAATTCATTCATTCTTAAGTTTTCCCAATATACAAGGCTGAATTTATTTAATAGCTATTGATCAACGTTCAACCAGGAATGTATTTTATCACTTTTTAACAGAACTAACAAGCAAAGTTACTTACTATGTAGCTTACCTTTTCCTCAGTCAAAAAATGTCGGCCGGAAAGAACTTCACAAATTCTCTTCAATTCAACTTTTAAAACCTTGTCCATATTTTTTTTAACTAGAACATCTACAGCCTGCTACAGAGTTCAATGTTACTGTAACCACAGTGTGTGTTTTTGAAACGCTAAAAACCTTATCCGAGGAAGAAACGACGACATTTATCACACTCCCTCCCCAGCCTAAAAACATGGAATTAGAAAGCAGGTACAAAAAGAATATTTGTTTGTTTGAATTTAAAGCTTAAATTTGTACTGTGAGAACCAGAAAACTGTGGAAAAGGAAGACGACATGAAAGCAATAATGTGTATTTGATGTTGGTAGTTGGTAAAAAGTTTTACTATATTGACTTTTGAAGTAAAATGGGTCTGTTTAGACTGCACAATTAAGATATCTCACATTGACCTATTTAAAGTCTAAACTTAAGTCTAAACGTCGTCTTCTTATTCTAGAGTTTTCTGATTCTCACATGTACATACCTCACTTTAAACCTGAATAAAACAAATAATTAAAGAAATATCTAATGTACTGTGTGTGTATATTTTCACCATTCAGTCGTAATACGTTCAGCAAGAATACCAAGTGTAAAGTCGACTTTTTTTACAATAAATGAAGCCTGGGAAGATCACATCTGCTATGCAGATTATATATATAGATATCGAAAGTTCGTATATACTTTAACAACATGTTCAGGTTCCCAAACAGTTTAACAGTTAGGTGGGATGCTTCTGCTATTATAGTCCGTATATATTCTAGCAACCTGTTCAGGTTCCCAAACAGTTTAACAGTTAGCTGGTATGCTCCTGCTATTATAGTTCGTATATATTCTAACAAACTGTTCAGGTTCCCAAACAGTAAAACAGTTAGCTGGGATGCTCCTGCTATTATGGTTCGTATATATTCTAGCAACCTGTTCAGGTTCCCAAACAGTAAAACAGTTAGCTGGGATGCTCCTGCTATTATGGTTCGTATATATTCTAGCAACCTGTTCAGGTTCCCAAACAGTAAAACAGTTAGCTGGGATGCTCCTGCTATTATAGTTCGTATATATTCTAACAAACTGTGCAGGTTCCCGAATAGTTTAACAGTTAGCTGGGATGCTCCTGCTATTATAGTTCGTATATATTCTAACAAACTGTTCAGGTTCCCGAATAGTTTAACAGTTAGCTGGGATGCTCCTGCTATTATGGTAACGAACCAGAAATACAAAATGTATATCCAGGTAGAAAAACTCTTTATACAGTACAGTGAAAACGAGGAAAACCAGAATAGGAAGACGACTTTAAAACTCAAGTTCTGCTTTAAAAAGTCCGAAAATCATGATAAACAACCATATGTCCAGTGTAATCAGACATGTTTTATTAAATAAGAAATTTAATAAATTACTATTAACTATTTTATTTGTAACAACACTAAATACACTAAATTAATGTTTTACTGTTAATGTCGTCTTCTTACGCCACGTTTTTCTGGTTATCACTGTTATCATGTTTTTTTTTATGAAAATATTGTCTCTCCATTATAGGAAGAGAAGGGTTCACAGAATTTTTAAAATTAGATTTGCAATTTTATAACCGTTTTATCTAGCTTCACAAAAAAATTAATTCTGAGTAAAACTCCAGATTTCTATCAAAAAAAAAATGTTTTTTCCTTTAAATTTTCAGTTTGAGGCTTTAAGCTGATTAATTTTTAATAAAAAAGTAATGTGTAACTTTTCTCTTTAATGTGAAGTTACAATTTATGGGCTTTACAGTTTACAAAAAGTGAATTGATAAGACTGCCATTATTATTTTTTTTCCTTTTAACTTATCTTTTTATTATTATAGAATAAATTCGACTGTTTAAAAAAAATCTGATGCACTTCAAGTCTTTAATAACATGAATACAACCACCCTCAACTAAGCTTTCGGTGCGTTCTGCAGTAATCTGCAGTACACTGACAGAAGAAGTATTAGCGTTTGGTGGACAGTGAATCTGCGTTAAAATAAATTTAGTTTACGTACTGCTCTGCTAAATGTGAATTTTGATTATTTATCTTTAAAATAATTGGTCAATTTAATAGTAAAATATCCATATATTATAACTCTAGAACAGTTTTACGCATGCTTATTAAAATAATAGTTAAAATTTTGTTATCATTATTCAGTTCTTGATTCCTAGTATTATGTTAGTTTTTAGCAGCCTATTCTAATAGTTTTATTAGGTTCGATCAGAGTGTTAAAAGATTCAATCAAAGTTTCTATCCCGGTGATAAAGGAAATTTTGGTCTGCAATTCTTAAAGAGTAAAAAAGCATATTATATCAGATAGATTTAAAATTCCTTGATTAAATCGATATTTCGTACAAAAATATAGTTTTTTCGAAGATTAAAAGATTTGAATAACATATAGGCCCCTGATATTGGTTACAACAACCAATACGAGATGGTGGGAGAGAGAAGAACATTCAACTTCTCTAAACTCCCAGAAATTATTGGAACAGGTCAGCTTTAGAGGATTAGCGTGCAGTCCCTTTAAACTGTTAGTGTCATGTCAAGTGACACACTGCGTGCAAAGATGGTGATATCTGATTCACAACGGTACCCTTGAAACCTTTAACTGATCAATAATGTGGAAGATATTGTCGTTTTCTAGATTTAAAAGTGCTGATATCTGATAATTCTCAAATGTTTACCTGTAGTAAAAATGCGCAAATCAATTTTTTAGAGAATCCACAGTTAAAAACATTAAAAACATTAAAAACATTAAAAACATTAAAAACAACCAGTTTTCAAGACTATAATAAACATTGATATATAATTCATACTTGATCAAACAAACCTATTAAGGGTACCGTTGTGAATCGGGCTTTGCCATCTTTGCATGGAGGGTCACTTGAAATTACGTTTAAAGTCCCTTAAAACATAACATTTTAAGAACAGTTAAAATATTCTTTTTATATTTAAATAAATGGCGGGGGGGGGGGGTCAGACCTCTTTTTTATTGTAAACGCCTCTAAAAACTCAATAAATCTTTATCTAGGTTCTTTTCGTAAGCGCCCCAAAAAAAATGTATAAGTATATATCTACCGAGAAAAGATAAGACTGGAAAAACGACCTGAAACTCTTAAAATATTGGGATTACAATGTTAATTTATTCGTCTATCTGGAATATCGCTAATATACTTTGCTTGTTCTGTCTGTTTGTCAGTCCGTTTGTGTCCAAAAAACGTCAAAAAAGCTGGACTACAATCGGGCCCGAATTTTGCTTGGCAAGGCAACCCCATTACCCCAGCGAAGGTTTATGGATGCTCAGAATTACAAAAAGTTGTCTCAAAACAAATTTTTGATTTTCGTAAAATTTTAAAAATCCAAGAAAACAATTTTGTTTTTGTTTTGATGAAAAGAAAATACTGAAAAATTGCTGAGTAACCCTGCAGGTCCATTTATTACCCTGCAGGTCCCTTGTATACCCTGCTGGTCCCTTGTATACCCTGCAGGTCCCTTGTATACCCTGCAGGTCCCTTGTATACCCTGCGGCCTCCAGGTCCCTTATATACCCTGCTGGTCCCTTGTATACCCTGCAGGTCCCTTGTATACCCCGCAGGTCCTTTGTATACCCTGCGGCCTCCAGGTCCCTTGTATACCCTGCAGGTCCCTTGTATACCCTGCAGGTCCTTTGTATACCCTACAGGTCCCTTGTATACCCTGCAGCTCTCTTGTATACCCTGCAGGTCCCTTGTATACCCTGCGGCCTCCAGGTCCCTTGTATAACCTGCAGGTCCCTTGTATACCCTGCAGGTCCCTTGTATACCCTTCAGGTCCCTTGTATACCATGCGGCCTCCAGGTCCCTTGTATACCCTGATGGTCCCTTGTATATCCTGCAGGTCTCTTGTATACCCTGCGGCCTCCAGGTCCCTTGAATACGCTCCTAAAAATTCTATAAATCTATATCTAGGTGAATTTTATACAATCCGAATAGTCTACTCTGTGGTTCCCTTAGGATCTGACGATGAGGTAATCACCCTGTTTTAAAGATTGCAAGTATGAGATTTTTTCCAAATACTTCTTGAAGAGCTAAAAAAAGGCGTTTTTAGTTTTAAAAATTTCATATTTAGGAACACAAAAAAGCAAAATGAAGTTTAAGAGCAGTAAAATCAAAGCCCAACGCTTTGCGAATTGTTACACTTTAAAGTCTTGAAAATTGATGCAGCATGTTATAGTAGGCTGAAGCTAGGTGAATTAATTTTAGATAAACATTATCGAACCTTCAGCTGATAACTTATGACAAAAGAATTTTCCCGCGTTTTTTATTTTTATTTCAAAATGATCGATTCTCGTTTTCAAAAGAGATATGATAGGGTTTTCAATCGGGATTCAGTTGCACGGAATTGGGCGGAAATTACCAAGTCCACAATTGCGCGCAAGTAAAACCCACTTGTGTTAGAAACCTAATATGGACCGTATAACAACTTGTTTTGATGGAAAACCAAAAACTACACAGACTGCTAATCTCCTTTCACAAGGAAAAATTATTGTTAGATCGCTCTAGAATCAATACCCATCCCTAGTTGAGGTCTGCAAATCTAAAACGCTTTGTTTCAAACAAGTAGTTTAGCCATCTGTATCTAGTTCAACTACATTTATAAAAATATTTGTTAGGTTGATTCTGAGGCTCTGGTTGGAACATTCGTAACTAAACCCCTGGCTCCATCTAACTTCAGACTTGGATCTCAACCCAACGAGATTATGTGGACAAAATCCCCAACCCCAAGGGTTAAGTAAGTTTACGTGTTTCTCCTATTTAACCAGTGAAATAAGCAATCATTGTTTTGGCCACAAACGTAAATCTTCTATTTCTTATACTTTGCAACCTGGTGGTTTAAATCGTTGATATTTTTAAGTTAGAATTAACAGAATTCTAATTTTGAAATTTCTAAGGTATCGAGATTGGGTTGCAAAGATATAGGTATGAGATATAAGAGTTTGTTGCAAAGACTTAATTCCTTTACGATACCTTACATAGATAGATAGCTATCTATTCAGAGCCGTAAAAATAAAAGTTAATCATGTACGTTACTGTGACCCACAATAAGGCTGAGTCTTTAATGACGATTCTAAGGATTTGTTCATTAAAATATGAGTAGATTATTACATTTTTTCTTGAGAAATGTGGATGGGATACAGTAACCACTTCGTTGGGCGGAAACAACCCATGTAGTGGATACAGTCTCTATTATATTATGTTTAGTGGATACAGTCTCTTTAATACTATATTTAGAGGATACAGTCTCTTTAATACTATATTAAGTGGATACAGTCTTTTTAATACTATATTTAGTGGATACAGTCTCTATTATACTATATTTAGTGGATACAGTCTCTTTAATACTATATTAAGTGGATACTGTCTTTTTAATACTATATTTAGTGGATACAGTCTCTATTATACTATATTCAGTGGATACAGTCTGTTTAATACTATATTAAGTGGATACAGTCTCTATTATACTATATTAAGTGGATATAGTCCCTTTAATACTATATTTAGTGGATACAGTCTCTGTTATTCTGTATTTAGTGGATACAGTCTCTATTATACTATATTTAGTGGATACAGTCTCTTTAATACTTTATTTAGTGGATACAGTCTCTTCAATAATATATTTAGTGGATACAGTCTCTTTAATACTATATTTAGTGGATACATTCTCTTTAATACTATTTTTAGTGAAAACAGTCTCTATTATACTATATTAAGTGGATACAGTCGTTATTATACTATATTTAGTAGAAATAGTCTCTTTAATACTATATTTAATGGATACAGTCGCTTTAATACTATATTTATTGGAAACAGTCTCTTTAATACTATATTTATTGGATACAGTCTCTTTAATACTATATTTATTGGATACAGTCTCTTTAATACTATATTTAATGGATACAGTCTCTTTAATACTATATTTAGTGGATACAGTCTCTTTGATACTATAATTAATGGATACAGTCTCTTAAATACTATATTTAGTAGATACAGTCTCTTTAATACTATATTTAATGGATACAGCCTCTTTAATACTATATTTAGTGGACACAGTCTCTTTAATACTATATTTAGTGAATACAGTCTCTTTAATACTATAATTAGTGGATACAGTCTCTTTAATACTATATTTAGTGGATACAGTCTCTTTAATACTATATTTAGTGGATACAGTCTCTTTAATACTATATTTAATGGATACAGTCTCTTAAATACTATATGTAGTAGATACAGTCTCTTTAATACTATATTGAATGGATACAGTCTCTTTAATACTATATTTAGTAGATACAGTCTCTTTAATACTATATTTAATGGATACAGTCTCTTTAATAATATATTTAGTGGATACAAGATTCGCTATAAAGCTGTAGAGGAAGGCTCTAAACCAGAAGAATTGTTTCTCCAGAATCCTGAGGAGAACGAACCATGCAGTATAATATTAGAGGTAATGTTTAGCAGGTTGTCTTAACATATTTATTTACTTGTTTTGATATTTTCATACATCAACATTTGTCAAAGTTAACATTTTACAAAAACTAGTTTGGGAACCTAGCCTTGTCCTGACTTGTTTGCAATAGGAGAGAAATAATAAAATTGTCAGAATTCAAAACTTTTCCAGATAGAGATATAACGATATCTTCCTCATCTTTTTCCAGATAGAGATACAACGATATATTCCTCATTATTTTCTAGATAGAGATACAACGATATCTGCCTCATTATTTTCCAGATAGAGATGCTACGATATCTTCCTCATTATTTCCAGATAGAGATACAACGATATATTCCTCATTATTTTCTAGATAGAGATACAACGATATCTGCCTCATTATTTTCCAGATAGAGATGCAACAATATCTTCCTCATTATTTCCAGATAGAGATACAACGATATCTTCCTCATTATTTTACAGATAGAGATACAACGATATCTTTTTCATTAATTTCCAGATAGAAAAACAACGATATCTTCCTCACTAAAGCTCAGATAGAGATACAACGATATCTTCCTCATTATTTCCAGATAGAGATACAACGATATCTTCCTCATTATTTTACAGATAGAGATACAACGATATCTTTCTCATTAATTTCCAGATAGAAAAACAACGATATCTTCCTCACTAAAGCTCAGATAGAGATACAACGATATCTTCCTCATTATTTCCAGATAGAGATACAACGATATCCTCCTCATTATTTTCCAGATAGAGAGACATCGATATTTTCCTCATTATTTTCCAGATAGAGATTCAACGATGTCTTCCTCATTATTACTCAGATAAAGCTTTTAGGGGCACCGTAGTGAATCGGATACGGTACTTTAAATATGGAGGCTCACTTGAAATTACGCCTACAGTCGAGTCGCTTTAAGCAATCTCTGTTATCAAATATTTCAGCCATAATTCCCTGTAACCCAAATGTAAAAAAAATCACATTTTATAAGTTTTGTAAAGATTCTTTTTAATAAAGTGTCTATTGTCTATTCAGGATTTACTGTGTGATGTTATGTATAGAGTGAATGTCTATGCTCTGGTTGATGGAGAAAATAATGAGGTAAAAATCTTACATTTTGAAAAAATTATCTTTTTTCTCCATCCGGTTTTTTACATACATATGACAAGTACCCTCAAAAAATGTCAGCCCATTTAGTCCAGCCGTTTAACCATCTATAGCAAACATATAAATGAGCGAAGACCTTTATTATACACTTGCTGAAGTGCCCGGCGTTGCCCGTGGAATTTTTAAACAACCGAAGTTTTGCCTAAGGTACCCTGAGGGTACTCAATGCCCTCTTGAATTTGAATTATGTTAGATCAAATAGTTTGAAATATCAAACTTTACACCATCAGGTTGCAATGATAAAGGAACTTATATTGCTTTGCATTTTTTTCTATGGTTTATTTTTAAGGTTGTGGAAAGCAAAGAGCTTCATGAGAAGATTATCAACAACAGTGGGTCTGTAACTTTGTACAACGAAGAACAGGATAAGAAAGAGGTAGGTTAATTAAAGGGACAGTAAATCTAATTATAAGTTAATTAAAGGGACAGTAAACCTAATTTCAAGTAAAGCACAGGAACAGTAAACCTAATTTCAAGTAAATTAAAGGGACAGTAAACCTAATTTCAAGTTAATTAAAGTGACAGTAAACCTAATTTCAAGTTGATAAAAGGGACAGTAAACCTAATTTCAAGTTAATTAAAGTGACAGTAAACCTAATTTCAAGTTGATAAAAGGGACAGTAAACCTAATTTCAAGTTAATAAAAGGGACAGTAAACCAAATTTCAAGTTGATAAAAAGGACAGTAAACCTAATTTCAAGTAAAGTACAGGAACAGTAAACCTAATTTCAAGTAAATTAAAGGGACAGTAAACCTAAATTTAAGTTAATTAAAGTGACAGTAAACCTAATTTCAAGTTGATAAAAGGGACAGTAAACCTAATTTCAAGTAAATAAAAGGGACAGTAAACCAAATTTCAAGTTAATTAAAGGGACAGTAACCTAATTTCAAGTAAATTAAAGGGACAGTAAACCTAATTTTAAGTTGATTAAAGGAACAGTAAACCTAATTTCTAGTTAATTAAAGTGACAGTAAACCTAATTTCAAGTTAATAAAAGGGACAGTAAACCAAGTTTCAAGTTAATTAAAGGGACAGTAAACCTAATTTCAAGTTAATTAAAGTGACATGGTTAACCTAAGTTCAAGTTATTCAAAGGGACAGTAAACCTAATCTCAAGTTAATTAAAGGGACAGTAAACCTAATCTCAAGTTAATTAGAGGGACAGTAAACCTTATTTCAAGTTAAATAAAGGGACAGTAACCTAATTCCAAGTTAATTAAAGTGACAGTAAACCTAATTTAAAGTTAATTAAAGGGACAGTAAACCTAATTTCAAGTTAATTAAAGGGACAGTAAACCTAATCTCAAGTTAATTAAAGGGACAGTAAACCTAATTTCAAGTTAATTAAAGTGACATGGTTAACCTAATTTCAAGTTATTTAAAGGGACAGTAAACCTAATCTCAAATTAATTAAAGGGACAGTAAACCAAATCTCAAGTTAATTAAAGGGACAGTAAACCTTATTTCAAGTTAATTAAAGGGACAGTTAACCTAATTTCAAGTTACTTAAAGGGACAGTAAACCAAATTTCAAGTTAATCAAAGGGACAGTAAACCCAATTTCAAGTCAATTAAAGGGACAGTAAACCTAATTTCAAGTTGATTAAAGGGACAGTTTTTATAAAGAGTTATTTGAGGAAAACCAAAATTTAGATTTTTATTACATAACATCAAATCTGGAGAATCTGTAAGTAATCCAGTAATGTTGCATAAATGTGTCCTTCTCCTGCCGTCTAGTTCAGCGTGAAATATACATGTTGTCCTTCTCCTGCTCTCTAGTTCAGCTTGATATATACAGGGTGTCCTTCTCCTGCTGTCTAGTTCAGCTTGATATATATAGGGTGTCCCACGAAACATGAGAGTAGCAAGACGACTTGAAAATCGTCCTTGATTTTGGAAATAATTTGATGCTTTATTTGTCAATCTGATTTTAGAAGTAAAATAAAATAAATAGTTAATAATCATAAAACACCACTAATCCAGGCATTTCCAAAATGTGGTCTGCCTTTTTTTGTGCAATTTTAATATTACCCGAGATATGAAGTATTTCGGTCAGATTTTGACAACTCTGATTTCATTTTAAGAAATTAAAATCTGAACGAAATTCTCGGTTAATATACAGTGAAACCCTTAATAACGAATGCATCGAAAGAATTTATCAAATGTCGTCTTGACAATTTTTCAATGGGTTTTATTCTATTTTACGTAAATTTCAGTATTTCCGAAAGTAATTAAATTGTCATGAATATCCGGGACCAGTTTTAAAGAGTTCCATATAATCTTTTTATTAAAAAACAAAATATCTGCAACATTCCATTATCAGAAAGTGAAGAATACGACATTTAATGAATTCTTTCGATGTATGGCTTATTTAGGGTTTAACTTCAGGGTTGTGAGAATGTTGTTTTCATTGTTTCAAAAATCTTCACATTTTAAAGTTATAGATTACAACTGAATGTCACAATTAAATTCAAAGATCGAAGACTACTTTCAATCCGTCTGGTTACTGTCATGTTTTGTGGCACAGGGTGTACATAAATTGTGGACAAATTGATATTTTATATACTATAAGGGAGGTAGAGATACAGACGAGCTAACTAAATACTGTCTAGATGAGAATCAGAAATAAAGTTTGTATATTTGAACCCCCGAACACTCTTAAAGGGACCCTTCAAGTGACCCTCCATGCAAAGAGGAAAATGTCCGATTCACAACGATAGTCTTGACACCTTATACTGATCAAAATTTCTGGAAGATCAATAATCTCGTTTTTTTGAGTCGAAAAAAACAAGTCTGCTAATTTCTACATTGTTTTTTTGTAAGTAAAAATGCGCAAGTCACTTTTGTAGATCAGAAACCTCAAATGAAATTTAAGAGGGTCACTTGAAGGCGCTTTCAGCACTTTAAACCTTTTAAACGATGTATTAATATATGCAGTATTATATATAAAATGCATGTTGAATATATAAATCAAAAATCTAATAAAAAAAATGATAATTCATTTTGAAAATTCCATTTAATCTTAAAATTATACTTCTACACACAACCTAAATGCTTCAATGAAAATAATGTTTGATTTGACATTTAAAAAATGTCCAGGGTTACCCAAAAAGGATGAGATTTCAGGGACGAACTGTATCCCGTCTTTTTTCTACATTCGTGAATTCCTGTAACTTTATTCTTTTTGAGTTATGTACACCTTTAACAGTCTAGATTAAGATTTATCTTCAGTTCGACAGAATAAAGGATTATTTTGGAGTTTTTATAGTTTTATCCTTTGTGGGTAACCCTGTATTAGTATACAAAGACGACTTTTATAAATATATTTGTTTAGGAGCTCCCAGGTGGGTTGACCATCCCTACAATATATAATCGCCAGCTAAGTGGAGGCTCAGGGGATGGAAGTTTAAAAGGAAGAACTAATAGTGGTGGGGATAGCAGAACTTATAGTGGTGGTGATCGATCCTAGAAATTATATCTGTAGATCTGAAAATGATTCAAAATCTGCTATTTTTCTACAAATTACCAATGATAAACAGAAAACTCAGAAATAGGAAGACGACTTTTAGAATCAAGTCATAATTTTAAAAAGTCCAATGAGCAATTTGTGTCTAGTAAGTTTGTAACAACATTAAATACACTTCAGTATTGTTATAACGTCGTCTTCATATTTCATTGTTTTCTAGTTATTAATGTACTTTATCTTCAAACTTAAACCAACCATTTTAAATTTTGATTTGAATAGTATTTTTTATAGTACCTGAGTCCGAATTTAAAGAATTTGAGCCGCGTCTTAAATCCGCCAAAAACAGGTTTCAATTAAGCGCCGGCGTAAAACTTGAAACATTGAATAACATTTTAGGTGGAACCAACTATATTTGAGCCGCGGCTTAAATTTAAGCCGCTGCTCAAATTATTTTAATTCGGCTTCTGTTTTCATGAATATTGTGCATTATCATGTCATGTTAGAAATGAAAACACATTAATGTTTGTCTATTGTACACTGAAAACACATTAATGTTTGTCTATTGTACACTGAAAACACATTAATGTGTGTCTATTGTACACTGGAAACACATTAATGTTTGTCTATTGTACACTGGAAACTGTGGAATATGAGGAGGACATTTATTTTTGGAAAACTTCTTTAGGATTTATTTGAGACATATTAAACTTTTTAAAGATATGTAAATCCTGAGTTTGAGCGCAAATTCGACGTTCAAAAATCCTACTTTGGGGGTGGATACGTTTTCAGAATTAGTTTTTTTAAATTATTAAATAACGACAGCGAAAAATAAAGTAAAAATTATCCAGTAATCTAATTAGATGGTTAGAAACATATTTCTCAAAAGAAATTTGTCAATTAATCAATGCTGAAATCGATTATTTCGTTTTCATTATTATATTGAATTTCTTAATTTCTTTGAATGTATTCGTAGATTTCTTCAAATTCTTCAAATGTTGTCTTTTCAATAATAATTCTAGAAAATCTGCAGAAAATCTTTATGAATAATGAGAAAATAGAAACTAATAATTAACAAGATTACTTATTTTCGATGATAAAATTAATTTTTATTTATTCAACATGCTCCTATACATGACGTGTGTAGTTTATTGTAGAACTTTTTTATATTTTATGTCGTCGTCATTAGTTTAGTGTATTTAATGTTTTTTATAAAGCAATTAAGTTGTTTGCGCAAACTGCACAAATACCGTGTATCATGTTCAATGGATTTTTTAAATCATAACTTTAAGCCTTAAGGACTTCTTCCTATCACACAGTTTTCTGGTTCTCACTGTATATCTCAATATTTAAAAAAATCTTTATTGTGTTGCTTATATTAAGTATATGGATTAAAAGTTCTTAATTTATGTAATCTTTATTTATTAAACCTAGATCCTAAAGAACAATGGAAAAATCTACCTCTACAAATAATTTGTCTTACCTTAACCAAGCTAAGAACATTCCCGTGGTTCTACCAAGTTCCTCAGTCAAAATTGGAGGCAAATCGGTAACAGGGTTTCCGAGTTAGGATCGGACATACAAACACGAAAACAGAGATTACTACTTTATATATATACTAGCTTGGGAACCCAGCGCTGCCCGTGTTACTTAAAGTTTCTCACGCCGTTTACTCGCTCTTAAACGATTTTACCGAGAAACACGAGAAACAGAAACGTATGAACGTTTTTATAACAGAAAAACAATTTGCCTCAGATAATTAAGTGAAAAAAGATCCACCTTAAATTGAAATTGAAAATAAATAATCGTATTTAGGATAATTGTTTGTAGAATTAATGGTTGTAGAATTAGTGTTTGTAGAATTAATGGTTGTAGAATGAGTTCTTGTAGAATAAATGGTTGTGGAAGAAATAACCGTAGAAAAAAATATTTTTTAATAAATGATTGTAGAATAAAAAATAGTTTTATAACATATGGTTAAAAACACTTATTGGTTTGTTTCGTGTTCCTGTCTGGGAATCATGTAAATTATATTAATAAAGAAAAATTAAACAAAAAAAGTTTTAAGGAGTGACCGGCAATGTAAGGTAGTTGAACTGATTATGCAGTGTTGTGGAAAACTTTTTTCGGATTCATTTGAGAGATATTAAACTTTTTAAAGATCTGTAAATCCTGAGTTTGAGCGCGAATTCGAAATTCAAAACTCCTACTTTGGGGGTGGATACGTTTTCAGAATTAATTTTTTAAAATTAGATTTCCACAACACTGCATACTCAGTTCAACTACCTTACATAGCCAGGTCACTCCCTTTAAGCATATTTGGAAGACCTTTAGGAAAAATTTGAATTTAGTTACTATCATAAAATTGGGGAACTTTTAAATACCTTGGATTTTTGCTACTTATTTTTAAGCGTTTCTTTAGAATAGGAATAAAACAATTCCCTTTACCTGGGTTCAAGTATTCCCCTTCTTTTGCTTTAGTGCTTAGTGGCCTCAAACCCACTGCAGTATATAGTCGAATCCAGGCAAGGAAATTAAAGCGATAGTTTACTTGTTCAGTGGCCGAATTTAAAGAATTTGAGCGGCGGTTTAAATTTAAGCCACGGCTTAAATATGGTTGGTTCCACTTAAAATTGTATCAAATGTTTCAAGATTTAAGCCGGCGTATTTGTCCTACACATAATTTGTCCTACACATCATTTGTCCTACACATCATTTGTCCTACAATAATTTGTCCTGCAAATCATTTGTCCTACACTTCAATTGTACTCTACACATCATTTGTCCTACGTGCAATTCAATTGAACTTTACAATATTTGTCCTACAGAGAGGGGTTAAAATGATTTTTCTTACAGAGAGGGGCTAAAATGATTTATCCTACAGAGAGGGGTTAAAATGATTTTTCCTACAGAGAGGGGCTAAAATGATTTGTCCTACAGAGAGGGGTTAAAATGATTTGTCCTACAGAGAGGGGTTAAAATGATTTTTCCTACAGAGAGGGGCTAAAATGATTTATCCTACAGAGAGGGGTTAAAATGATTTTTCCTACAGAGAGGGGTTAAAATGATTTGGCCTACAGAGAGGGGTTAAAATGATTTGTCCTACAGAGAGGGGTTAAAATGATTTGTCCTTTACAATTGATAACATCATTTATTCTATAATAATGTTTAAAAAGTTAAAGTTAATTTCTTTTAATAAGTTAAATAATATGATGTAATCTCACCCTTTTTTGGGTTAGGCTTGGTTCAGACAATTTCTGGGCCGAGCGCTGCGGCTAGGATGGGCCACGGAGCCGAGCGCTGCGGCTAGGATGGGCCACGGAGCCGAGCGCTGCGGCTAGGATGGGCCACGGAGCCGAGCGCTGCGGCTAGGATGGGCCTCGGAGCCGAGCGCTGCGGCTAGGATGGGCTAGGGGCCGAGCACTTCGGCATCTTAAATGTTAAATGTGCTGTCTCTCTCTAAGAAAAGCTGCTCAGCAAATGATTTGTATGACAAATGATTGTAGGACAAACATCATGGCGGCGTTTAAGTATACATATTATTTAAGAACATACTGTCTTTTTACTGCCTTTTGACTGACTATTGACTGACTTTTGACTGACTGTTAAGACTGTATATAGTCAGTAATATTTCTTGTCACTTTTTTAACATTCAATATATTTACTTGAAAGAGATTCACAAGAATCATTACAAAATTGAAAAATTTTATTTGGGTCATTCGAATGTAGTTTACATATCATAATATTAGTGTGATTTTTGAGAATATTCATTCAGACAATTTCGAGGATTTCAAATAGCGAAGAAAATATTTTATATTTGCAAAAAATGACAAATATTGTATTTTATTTGTTCCAAAAACAAGAAATATTTGATATGTCAACTACACGCGAATGAATCGAATAAAATTGTAATATTTAAAGGATAAGGTTTTTAATTTAATTTAATAATTTACAGCTTAAATAGTATAATGCAACTTATTGAATTTACAGCTTGGGTTCTACGCTTTTAATTGGACATTGAGCAATACACTTTTTTCTCCTTATAGACGCCACAGGTACAGAAAAATTAGTAGCGATGAAATACAAAAATTTGATTCAGATCTTCAGTTTTTTTGTACCCTCTTTCACTTTTCGCGAACACTCTCTTTGATTACAATTATCAAGAAATTGATATAATCAATAAAGTCTGTTTTCAGATCAAAACATGTGTGACCCATCTGTAAATATTGGGATTTCTAGGAATGCTCTTTAAATACAAATCTTAAAACCTATTTTTTGACTAAAATCTATCAATTTCAAAAGAAAAACTTTTCGCTTCGATTTCAAAATATTTCATAAAATATGACTTAAGTAGTTTAGAAACATTTTATTAATCTAACAAAAATCGTTGAAAAAATAAGAATAGCAACAGATTTAAAAAATATTTATTATGCAATAAAGTACACTGCCCTGCCCTATGTGCAATGATAAAAAGGGTCTAGGCGCTCCAACTCTTCCTAAAAAGACAGAGGTATATTTATTGCAGCAGGAGTTTACCGAGTATCTCATATAACATCGGAATAAGAGACGACATTATAATTATTTAATAATTTTTAAAAAATAGTTTCTCAAAACATAACCACCCAAATGGATGATTTTGAACTTCGACTTTGCGCTTAAACTCAGTAATTATACATCATTAAAACGTCTCAAATGAATCCTAAATACTACATTCTCAGTTCAACTACCATACATTATATATGCTTTACTGTTAAGCTCAAAGAAAACCAAAAAAAACCTTCTAATTGAATTCAGGTAGCATGCAAGAGATGCCTTGCCTGCAAAAGTTGCTCAGCCCAAATGGCTCCAGGTTAAGCGTTAAAGGGACTGTACACGTATTTTTAAGTAATTCAAGTTGTTTAGCAGTGCATCTAATGGATTACAACGGTACTCTTGTCATTTGAAATTATCGCTTGCTAAAATTAAACATTTTTAAGTATCTTAATATTTATATATATTTAAATATTTAAATATATAAATATCTAAATATCTAAATCTCTACATGATGAGAAATGCTAAGAACGTTCTCTCTCTCAGGTTTAAAGTCTTTATACTATGCTCTTTCCCAAAGTGAATAAATACTAAAGTGGAACAAACTCATAGTTGGATGACGACATTTTATGTCCCAAGTATTTAGAAATATGTATATATATATATAAATTGGTCTGTATACGGAGTGTACAGTACAACAGAAACTGGACTCCCTTTGTTTACAAACACAGACTTAGAATTTGTATTTAACTTAAATATAAGTTAACGTAAATTAAGATTTCAGAAGTGAATTTTAGCCATTTTGCTGCACAGTAAATGATTTCAGACAACACAATAATGCCTGCAAGCATAATCTGTAAAACAAGGAATGCACAATTTGTGATACCGAAAAATGAAGATCTTCGAAATATATCTCTTGGTCTCCACTTTTGTATTTTGACAGATTTAAGAGTGGTTAAGAACTATAAGACATAGTTTTAAAG